GACGTCGACGACGACGACAAATACTACTACTACTAGTTCTAGTACTACTACGACTACTTCTACTACTATTCCTACGACAACAACTACTACTACTACTACTACTACTGCTACTACTACGACTACTACTACTACTACTACTACTACTACGACTACTGCGACAACTATTGCGACTACAGCTACTACCACGACTACGGCTACGACTACGACTACGACTACCACTACTACTACTACTACTACTACTACTACTACTACTCCTACGGCTACTACTACTACTACTACTACTACCACTACTACTACTACGACTACTACTACTACTACTACTACGACAACTGCTGTTTCTGAAACTCCTACTAACTACTACTACTACTACTACTACGACTATACTACTACTACTACTACTACTACTACTACTACTACTACTACTACTACTACTACTACTACTACTACTGCTACGACGACTACTACTACTACCTCTTACTACTGTGCTAACTACTATACTACTACTACTACTACTACTACTACTAACTACGACTACTACTAACACTAACTACTACTACTACTACTGCTATCTACTACTCGACGACTACTAATACTACTTCTTCGACTCTTCGTAATACTAGGGCTACGACCACTACTACTACTACTGCTACTACTACTACTACTACTACTACTACTACTACTACTATCTACTACTACGACTACTACTACCTACTACTCTACTACTACTACTGCTACTGCTACTACTACTACTACTACTACTACTACGACTCCTGCTACTACTACTACTACTACTACTACTACTACTACTACTACTACTACTACTACTACTACTACGCCTGCTACTACTACGACTACTACTACTACTATTCCTGCTGCTGCTACTACTACGACTACTACTACTAATAATCATAATAATACGACTACAACTACGACTACGACTACGACTACGACTACGACTAGTACTACTACTACTACTACTACGACTACGACTACGACTACACGACTCCTACTACTACTACTACTACACTACTACTACTAACTACTACTACTACTACTACTACTACTAGTACTAGCTACTACTACTACTACTACTACTACTACTACTACTACTACTACACTACCACTACTACTACTACTACTACTACTACTACCTACTACTACTGCTACTACTACTACTACTACTACTAGCTACTACTACTACTACTACTACTAACTACTACTACTACTACTACTACTACTACTACTACTACTACTACTACTACTACTACTACTACTACTACTACTACTACTACTACTACTACTACTACTACTACTACTACTACTACTACTACTACTACTACTACTACTACTACTACTACTACTACTACTACTACCACTACTACTACTACTACTACTACTACTACTACTACTACTACTACTACTACTACTACTACTACTACTACGACTACGACTACGACTACTTGTACGAATCCTATCCTCATTCTCTATTGGATAATACTCCTACTCCCCTCTCACCCGAGCCGATTGGGGGTCAATCCGGGGTCCCATACTAACCTGCAAAAAGCAATACAATGTCTGAGTTTCCATTTCAGCATGGACGTCACCTCGATCGTTCAACCTTGAACCGATCGCGGCCCCGATCGTTCAGAGTTGAATTCCGTCGGGTCCTGTGGCGTTACCGTGCCCCTCGGTGCTTCCGCGTCCTTCTATCGAGCGGAAGGCCACCTAGAACGCCTTCGCTGGCGTCGCCGTCGCGGCATCGCCGCACGGACCTACCGCGCACTCCCAGGAGTTGCGTCCGAAGGCACGGAGTCGAAATCGACTCGGATCGGCCGCGCCTGGATGCAGCAGCGCCGCGCAGCCCTCGGGCTGCAAAAGCAGCGGGCAGATCGTCGGAGCGTCGCAATCGAGCCCGATCGTGGCGGCCGGGATCGATGGCGAATCGGCTCGATCGGATCGGACTGGACCCTGAAGGGTCGCTCGGCTTCCAGGCCAAAGCTCGGGTCTCTGGCGGCCGCTGGAGACGAGCCGGGCACACCACAGCACGCTCCCCGCGAGAGGCGCCGCTCCTGGAGCGCACCCCGAAGCAAGAAAGCCTGCGAGAACCGCCGATAATGAAGGGGCCCCAGGACACACAAATAAATACACACAAATAAAAAGATTCCATATCTTTTCCCATATTTTCTGGGGAATCGAGGATGAATTGTGTCTGTGTCTCTCTCTTCCTCCTGAATAACACCCGAACGCTCCCGAGAAGAGGCTCACGTGCAGCCGACGATCGAGGACCTCGGTCAGCGATCCTCTCGGCCTCTCCCGACCTCGAGGCGGCTGGAACGCACCCCGAGGTCGGAATAAAAAAAAACCCGAGGAGCCGACGACGGCGTCCGAGAGCGACCTGCAGCCAACGAACCATGGCCTCGACCCTCGATCCTCTCGCCCTCCAGCCTGCACCACGACGCATCCTTCGGGGGCGCGCAAACATGGATCTGGCGCGCGGCGGCCAAATCCATGCATCGGGCGAGGCGCCCTCCCCAGAATGCAGCCGGTGCCGCCTCGCCCGGCGGCAGAACTCCGCGATCTCCCATGGACACGGCACCCGTCGCCAATCCACGCCCCCCTGATCCATGCTTGCGATCGCCTGACCTCCGGAGCCGAGGAGGGCGAGAGAGGGCCCCCCCCGCGGCGAGGAGAGGACCACGGCACGGCTTCGCGGGGCCCATCGCGCGGCTTCGCTCAATGTGGGGACTCGAGAGCGCCCGACTGGGGAAGCCGCCCCGGACAACCCCCTCGATGGGGATGGGAACTCCCAACATCGCGCGGCTCTCCTTTGAGGCCTCGGGGAACCTCCCCCCAACTGGCAGAGGCCAGGCCCCACTCGCAGAGCAAGAGCAGAGGCTTCTCTGGGGCATCTCTGATAGGGGCCCCTTGAGCGCACACGCCGTGCACTCGATCACCACACCTGCTGCAGGCTTGCACGAAACTCTCGTCGCCGAGACCCTGGATCGGCGACTCCAAAGGGTGTGGCTTGCAAGAGGTGTGGTTTGCAACCGGCGCCCTGGGGAACACCCTGGGGGGCACCCCGGGGGCGCGCGTGGACCTCAGTTCTCCCGCGCCCCGAGGAGGCCCGACGAGGACAGTGTCGTGCCCCCCAAGCCTCAACGGTGCCGGTCGCGAACCACACCCCGGCGTAACCGGGCCCCTTTGTAGTCTGACTACCTACCAGACCAACCCAACCCAACCCGAAGACCCGAATTTCGGGTTGGGGGGGGTACGGGATCCGTTTGTGTTTTTTCGATGTTCCCCGACCCCCCCCCACTGGAAATGGAGGGCAAATTGAGGCCTTCGGGTTGGGTTGGTTTGGTGGGTGGTGATAGTCGCCGTGGCGGAGCGAGGCGGCGGGAGAGCAGGAGGGGGGAGGAGGCTCCCATGGCAGGCCGCCCCACTTCGAAGGCCCGCCGCCCAGCGCCCCGCCTCGCTCGGGGGCCTACAGGGCAGTTTGTAATACATTGGATTTTAACTTTTATGATTTTAATACATGATTGATGCATGAATAACTTTATGCATGAACGCATCTTTGTTTTTGATAATAAATCCCTGCATTGTTGATACATGATCCGCACGCAGAGCATGTAATAAAAACGGCACTGTATGGGGGGGGGGCCCTCCCGCGGCCATTCACACGCGGACCTCTCCTGGGCAGGAGGGCCCAGAATCGCCTCGAGAAGTCGCACTGGCAAGCGACATGAAGCGCATCGGCGGACATCGGCAGCCGATGTCGGGCAGAGTCGAGCCGGCGGAGAAGTCGGCAGGCTCAGCAGGCCTCCATTCTGAGAAATCGGAGCCCACCTCGGAATCCCGAGTCGCATCGAATCGGAATCGGCACCCCTCGAACAAAAAATCGAAGCGAATCGACTACGAGGAGGGGGAAGGGGAGGGAGAGGGAGAGGGGGAGGGGGAGGAAGAGGGGGAGGAGGAGGAGGAGGAGGAGGAGGGAGGAAGGAGGAGGAGGAGGAGGAGGGAGGGGAGGAGGAGGAGGAGGAGGAGGAGGAGGAGGAGGAGGAGGAGGGAGGAGGATCGAGCCCCGCCCGGGGCGCGCGCTGCCCAGCGTCCCGGTGTGCGGAGATCCCCGCCGTGGCGGCGCGAGAGAGGGCTCCCGGAGGCCCTTAGGAGGCCCGAAGGAGCCGCTCGGTCCCCGGGCCCGGCGCCCCGCGGGTGGAGGCCCCGTCGGGTGCGCACTGCGATGGTGGGCCGGCTTCTTCTCACCACCACCACCATTAGTTGGAGGGGGAGGGGGTCCTCCTCCTCCTCCTCCTCCTCCTCCTCCTCCTCCTCCTCCTCCTCCTCCTCCCTCCCTCCTCCTCCTCCTTCTCCTCCTCCTCCTCCTCCTCCTCCCTCCTCCTCCTCCTCCTCCTCCTCCTCCTCCTCCTCCTCCTCCTCTTCGTCCTCCTCCTCCTCCTCCTCCTCCTCCTCGCCCTCCACCTTCTTTCCCCCCTCCAACATACGGTGGCGATGGTGGAAAACAAGCCCATCATGCTGCACGCGGCCGCTCCGAGCTGCAGAGCGCTGCACCAGGAGGGCATGGCCAGCAGTCGGGCGACGCCAGATCCACGACCTGGCTGGCCTCCCTCCAAACAGTCCTGGAACTCGATGGCCTGCAACGCTGATCCCCGAAGGCCAGGGAGGACAAGGGGGGCAAAGGAGGGAGGGGCCCCCCACCCGGGCGACGTCCGTCTCACAAGCAGCCTCCCTCCAAGAGTCCTGGAACTCGCTGGCTTGCAACGCTGACCCCTGAAACCTTGAAACCCCCGAAAACCTCGCTGCACGGTCACCACACGGCTTCGAAACACTGGATCCCAATCGCCCGAGACGCCCTCGGAGAAGGACCCGAATCCCAAGACCGTGCAAGGGCCCGAACACTCACAGACTCACCACGCGGTCTGGTCACCGCACCGCTGCGAGGCTCCCCTGGCAGACCGCCCCGCGCGGGAGGGGTCCCCCGCGCACCGCCCCATTCAGGAGGTCGAGGGGCACCCTCTGCGGCTCGAGCCCCCACTCCAGGGCCGCGAGCACCAGCGGTGCCAGCGCGGCCTGCGCCGCGCGCAGGACGGCGGCGACGGCGACGTCGGCGGGCACGGCGACGGAAGAACGGCGACGACGACAGCAGCGACGGAGACGACGACGACGACAACCACGACGACGACGACGACGACGACGACCACGACGACGACCACGACGACCACGACCACGACGACCACGACCACCACGACGACGACGACGACAACGACGACAACGACAACGACGACCACGTCGACGACCACCAACAAAACGACGACGACAACACACGACGACGACAACGACGACGAGGACGACGACGACCACGACGACGACCACGATGACGACGACGACGACTACGACGACGACCACGACGACGACAACGACCACAACGACGACGGCCAAAACCACGACGACGACCACCACGACGACGACGACGACAACCAGGACGATGACCTCGACGACGACCACGACGACAACGACGACGACCACAACGACGACGACGACCACCACGACGACGACGACGACCACGACGACGACGACGACGACGACGTCCACGACGACCACGACGACGACGACAACGACGACAACCACGTCGACGACCACCACGAAGACGACGACGACAACACACGACGACGAGCACGACAACGACGACGACGAGGAAGACGCTAACCACGACGACGACGTCGACGACGACGACCACGACGACGACGATGACGACCACGACGACGACCACGACGACGACCACGACGACGACTATGACGACGACAAAGACGACGTCCACGACGACGACCACGACGACCACCACGACGAGCACGACGACGACCACGACGACCACGACGACGACGACGACGACCACGACGACGACGACGACGACGACGACGACGACGACGGCGACCACGACGACCACGACGACGACGACGAGAACCAGGACGACGACGAAGACCACCACGACGACGACGACGACCACCACGACGACGACGACGACGACCACGACGACGAGGACCACGACGACGACGACCTCGACGACGACGACAACCACCACGACAACGACGACGACGGCAACGATTACGACGACGACCACGACGACGACGACGACGACGACGGCGACCACAATAACCACGACGACGACGACGAGAACCAGGACGACCACGACGACCACCACGACGACGACGACCACGACGACGACGACGACCACGACGACGACGACCACGACGACGACGACGACCTCGACGACGAGCACGACGACGACGACCACGACGACGACCACGACGACGACCACGACAAAAACGACGCCCACGACCACGAGGACGACGACGACGACCACGAAGACGACGGCCACGACGACCACGACGACGATCACAACGACGACCACAACGACGACCTCGACGACGACGACGACCACGACGACGACCACGACGACGACCACGACGACCACGACAACGACCGCAACGACGACCACGACGACGACCACGACGACGACCACCACGACGACGACGACGACGACGAGAACCAGGACGACGACGACGACGATAACGATCACGACGACGACGACGACGACAGCGACCACGACGAAGACATCAACGACGACCACGACGACGACGACGACAAAAACCACGACGACGACCACCACGACGACGACGACAACCAGGACGATGACCTCGACGACGACCACGACGACAACGACGCTTACGACCACGACGACGACCACGACGACGAACCCTTCGACCACGACGACGACCACGACGACGACCACGACGAGGACAACCACGATGACGATCACGACGACCACGATGTCAACCACAACGACGACGACGACGATCACGACGACGACCACGACAACGACCACGACGACAACCACGACGACGACAACGACGACCACGACGACGACCACGACCACGACGACGACCGCGACGACCACGACGATAACCACGACGACGACGACGACCACGACGACGACCACGACGACAACCACGACGACGACAACCACGACCACGATGACGACGACCACGACCACGACGACGACCACGACGACAACCATTACGACGACAACGACCACGACGAAGACGACGACGACGACCACAAGCAAGACGACGACGAAGACAACGACGAAGACGACGACCACGACGACCACGACGACCACGACGACGACGACGACGACGACGACGACGACCGCGACGACAACGAAGACGACCACGACGACGACCACGACGACGACGACGACCAGGACGACGAACACAACGACGACCACGACGACGGGGACGACGACGGCGACGAAGACGACGACAACGACGACGACGACCACGATGACGACCACGACGACGACGACCACGACGACGACGGAGACGACGACCACCACGACGACGACGACGACCACGACGACGACGCCGACGGCGACGACGACCACGCCGACGACGACGACGACGACGACGACGACCACGACGACAACAGCGGCGACGGGGACGACGACGGCGACGAAGACGACGACGACGGCGATGAAGACGACGACCAAGACGCTGACCACGACGACGACGACAACGTCGACCACGACAACGACGAAGACCACGACGACGACGAGGACCACGACGGCGACGACGACGACGACGGCGACGACGAACACGACGACGACAACGACGACGACCACGACAGCGACCACGACGACGACGGCGACGACGGCGACGGCGGCGGCAACGACGACGACCACGACCATGCCCGCGAGGTGCTCTGGAGGTCACCAAAAGCGTCGGGAGGCCCAAGGAGGCCCAAAACAGGCTGGAAGCCTCGACCCTCGAACATCTATTGGCGATGGACCCATCATCGGTCCACGACCGTCCTCGGAACGAACCTCGATCCTCAAACCCCGACCGTCGATCGACCCATCCTCGACCCTCCTTCCACGAACCTCGACCGTCGATCGATCGATCCATCCTCGACCGATCTCTGGCAGGTTTTGTCCGTCAGCGCAACACGCCTTGGAGATAGGGAAGGGAGGGGACAGAACGGGACGCAGAAGGCCGAAACCCAACGCACCACCTGTCTGTTCTGGGTGCAGCGCCAGGGCTCCAATATCGGCAGGCAACCCAGAAAGGCAGGCAACCGATCCCGGACAGGGATGCTGGAAAAACAGCGCCCTGGAGCGAACCTCGACCCTCGAACCTCGGACCTTTCTCTGGGGAGAAGCCGCGACGTCCGCGGGTAGGGAGGAAGAGAACGACAGTCCTCCTTTTGACTTCCTCCTTCTCCTCCTCCTCCTCCTCCGCCTCCTCCTCCTCCTGTTCCTCCTCCTGCTCCTCCTCCTGCTCCTCCTCGATCTCGTCCTCCTCGTCTCCCATTCATTTGCATTATGAATAACTCCTCCCTGTCGCACCCCGAAGACGGTCGAAAGGCGGGCCGGGCGTTGCGCCTGAGACTTCCTCACCATGTATGACCCGAAAGCTGTGAAAGTGGCAGCTGTTTCACAGATGGAGCGCGGGTCGCTTCCAAAATGTGATTCTCGCCTCAGCGCCGCGCACATTCATTTTAAAGATTTCCAAGCGCTTCACGGAGAGAGGGCGGGTCGTTTTCAACATGTGGCTCTCGCCTTAGCGCCGCGCACATTCGTTAAACAACTCGTTTGAGCTTCACGGATGGAGGGTAGGTGGTTTCAACATGTGGCTCTCGCCTTAGCGCCGCGTACTTCCGTTTTCAAACATTGCAATCACGGATTCAGGGCAGCTCGTTTTTTGAACATGGCTCTCGCCCTAGCTCTGCGCACATTCGTTTCAAAAGTATGCAAGAGTTTCACGAATTCCAATGGTCAGCGTGCCAGACATGGTGTTTGAAATGACTCAGGACTATGAGGGCGCAACGGTCACGTTGATCCGCGGAGTTGAAGTCTGAGGAATGGTGCTCTGGCAGGATTCAGGACCGTGAGGACGCAACAATTATGTTGAATCGTGGCGTTGGGGTCCCGAGAATGGTGATCTGGCACGCTTAAGGGTCTTCAAACGGTCCTCTCCCAACGAGGCAGTTCCCTCAACGGTAATGAGCCCTCGAACGGGCCTATGAAGAGGACGCTTGGATGAAGGGTTTATTATGACAGCGTTGATGGGTCCTGGGTGTCCACTGATCCTCCTCCCCCTCCTCCTCGTCCTCCTGCTGTTCCCCCTCCTCATTCTCGTCCTCCTCCTCCTTCCCCTCCTCCTCCTCATCCTACCTCCTCCTCCTCCTCCTGTCACCTCCTCCTGCTCCTCCTCCTCTTCCTGCTCCTCTTCCTCCTCCTCCTCCTTCTCCTCATCCTCCCTCATCCCTTCTCCCTTGTCCCTTTTCCCGTTATCACCCTCCTCATCATTCTCCGCCTCCTCCTCATTCGTGTCCTTCCCTACCCTCTTCATCCTCATCCTCCCTCTGTTTCATCATCGTATTAGTATTGTTATTCGTTTTCGAATTATGAGTCTAACATTCAAATATTATTATATGTAGTATGTGGGTTGCCGTTTTCGTCTGATTCGTCCTCGTAGGATTCTTAACATTATTAGTACTGGTACCATTAGTAGTAGTATGAGGGTTAGTAACACGAGTATTCTATATATATATATATATATATATATATATATATAAAAAAAAATCATTCGGGGTATTAGTCGTAGGAGTATTGTGAGAACCACTGTTCGTAGTTAGTATCATTAGTATGCGTGTTGTAGATCATTGTTGGTGGTGCGGTTGCTGGAAATTTTGATTATTACGATTCAAAGTAGTAAACTACTAATATTAGGATGCCTTCTTCACCAGTAGAAATATCATTAGTTGCATTAGTAGTACGAGTATGAATTATGATTCGTGGTAGTAGCGCTACTGTCGTAAATAATCTCATCATATGAACCATAACTCCAGCAATAGGTTTAGCATTCATCTTCCTCCTCTGAAAAGCACCATGATTCGTACGCGTTTATGTTTCTTATCGGTATTACTAGTTGTCGCCGTCTTCGTATTAGTAGTATCCTTCTTGTTTAAACCATATCCTGAAGCGTTTTCTGTCCGTGTATAGTATTCTAATCATTATTGACACAGTTATGGTTATCCGAAGTAGTAGTAGTAGTAGTAGTAGTAGTCGTAGTAGTAGTAGTAGTAGTAGTAGTAGTAGTAGTAGTAGTAGTAGTAGTAGTAGTAGTAGTAGTAGTAGTAGTAGTAGTAGTAGTAGTAGTAGTAGTAGTAGTAGTAGTAGTATAGTAGTAGTAGTAGTAGTAGTAGTAGTAGTAGTAGTAGTAGTAGTAGTAGTAGTAGTAGTAGTAGTAGTAGTAGTAGTAGTAGTAGTAGTAGTAGTAGTCGTAGTAGTAGTAGTAGTAGTAGTAGTAGTAGTAGTAGTAGTAGTAGTAGTAGTAGTAGTAGTAGTAGTAGTAGTAGTAGTAGTAGTAGTAGTAGTAGTAGTAGTAGTAGTAGTAGTAGTAGTAGTAGTAGTAGTAGTAGTAGTAGTAGTAGTAGTAGTAGTAGTAGTAGTAGTAGTAGTAGTAGTAGTATAGTAGTAGTCGTAGTATCGTAGTAGTAGTAGTATAGTAGTAGTAGTAGTAGTAGTGTAGTAGTAGTATTAGTAGTAGTAGTAGTAGTAGTAGTAGTAGTATTAGTAGTAATAGTAGTAGTAGTATTAGTAGTAGTAGTAGTAGTCGTAGTAGTCGTAGTAGTCGTAGTAGTCGTAGTAGTAGTAGTAGTAGTAGTAGCAGTGGTAGTAGTAGTAGTAGTAGTAGTAGTAGTAGTAGTAGTAGTAGTAGTAGTAGTAGTGGTAGTAGTAGTAGTAGAAGAAGAAAGGAATAGTAGTCGTAGTGGTCGTAGTAGTCGTAGTCGTGTTCATATTGTTACGTGTAATATGAATACTTATACGAGTAGTACCATTAATATTAGCAGTAATTAGTATTACTATTCGCATCCTCCTCCTCATCATCATCATCATCGTCCTCTTCCCTCCTGCTCCTCCACCTCCTCCTCCTCCTCCTCTTCCTCCTCCTCCTCCTCCTCCCCTCCTCCTCATCCTCCTCCTTCGACGGTCCTGAAGGATCCCGCCCTGGGGCATGTGCTTCATCTCGGGCAGGTAGAGGAAGGCGGTGGTGGCATGTCCGTCGGCGCGCACGGGGGGGTGGTGCAGGCTGGGCCGGCGCTCTCTGAGAAGGCGGCGGGCCTCTCGGCCAAGGCAGGGAGCCCTCTCAGGAAGGCCCGTCGGCTTCCGAGAGGGCTTCGGCAGGAACCGGCGGGGCTTCTGAGAGGGCCCCTGCCTTCGCAGAAGCCGCCCGCCTGCTCGGAACGCCGCCCCCCGCGCGCCATCCCCCGGCGGGCGCCGCCAGCATTCGTCGGCGGCACCATTGCGCAGGTACTCCGCACGTACTCCTCGCCGGAGTGGTTACCTCGGGACGACCGTGGGCGGGCGCCGCGACCCCGATCGCCCGCACGAGGCATGACACGACACGAGCCATGGTCCAGACTTTTGCAGATGGCATCGCCGAGTCGACCGCACTGCTGCTTGGGCTGCTACACCATCGTGGGAAGACCTGCCCCACGACGTGCTCCACCTCACGCAAGATCGTTACTGCTCTACAGCAAGTTGCAAGGCCGACAGACTCATGGCAGGCGCAGAAAGAAGAGGCAAGCAGCAAGAAAGGGGAAAGAGAAGGGCAACGCAAAAACCGCAGCGCTGGATCAGACCCGTCACCCGTCCACTGCGAGCTCAAATTGAAAGCGTGGCTGGTGGCGCCAGAACGTTCCGTGAGGAGTCTGCCGACTCCGGCTCCGTCTCTGGCCGCAAACGGGCACGAGGATGGAGGGTGTGTGGTTCGAACGCGACCGAATGTGCGGGTCCGAACGCAGCCCGGTGACCACACCGCCCGTCGAGCCAAACGTCTTAATATTCGGGGCGAACGGACCGCTGTGTGGCTCTAGTCGTTCCCCGACGGTGTCTCGAACGACCCTGACCTGCCCCCAAACTGCCCAGTGACGCTTTTCGGCATCTGGCTGCCACTGAACCATCTGTCTCGGGACGCCTCGGGGGCCCCTGAGACTGCGCCGCACGAAGACATCCGCCGACCTGATTTTTCTGCTCCGCGGCCCCAGGAGGCCCCGACCGCTTCCAGGGGGACAATCTGTGTTCCGAGACCCATGCTTGGCAGTCCCAGGGCCCGAGAACTGGAGCCTTCGGTGGAGCTCCCCATGGGGCCACGAAGCGCTGTCCTGGGTGACGCGGACGCATGCGGCCTGTGCCACTGAAGCCTTCGGTGGAGCTCCCCATGAGGCCATAACGCTATCCTGGGTGGCGTGGGCGCATGCGGCCTGTGCCACTGGAGCCTTCGGTGGAGCTCCCTAAGGGGCCACGAAGCGCTGTCATGGGTGGCGTGGACGCATGCGGCCTGAGCCACTGGAGCCGTCGGTGGAGCTCCGTATGGGGCCACGAAGCGCTGTCGTCGGTGGCGTTGACGCATGCGGCCTGTGCCACTGGAGCCTTCGGTGGAGCCCCCTGTGGGGCCACGAAACGCTGTCTTGGGTGGCGTTGACGCATGCAGCCTGTGCCACTGGAGCCTTCGGTGGAGCTCCCTATGGGGCCACGGAGCGTTGTCCTGGGTGGCGTTGACGCATGCGGCCTGAGCCACTGGAGTCTTCGGAGAAACTCCCCATGGGGCCACGAAGCGCTGTCCTGGGTGGCGTTGACGCAACTCCGTCGGTGGAGCTCCCTTTGGGGCCACGAAGCGCTGTCCTGGGTTGCATGCGTCAACGCCACCCAGGGCAGCGCGTCGTGGACAGGCTGCATGCGCCAACGCCGCCCAGGACAGCGCTTCGTGGCCCCATACGGAGCTCCACCGACGGCTCCAGTGGCACAGGCTGCATGGCGTCAACGCCACCCAGGTCAGCGCTCCGTGGCCCCGTTGGGAGCTCCACCGACGGCTCCAGTGGCACAGGCTGCATGCGTCAATGCCACCGACGACAGCGCTTCGTGGCCCCACAGGGAGCTTCACCGACGGCTCCAGTGGCACAGGCTGCATGCGACAACGCCTCCCAGGGTAGCGCTGTCTGGCCTCATAGGGAGCTCCACCGACGGCTGCAGTGGCACAGGCCGCATGCGTCAACGCCACCTAGGGCAGCGCTTCGTGGCCCCGTGGGGAGTTCCACCGAAGGCTCCCGTTGCACAGGCCGCATGCGTCAACGCCACCCAGGACAGCGCTTCGTGGCCCCGCAGCCCCCATTGGAGCCTTCGGTGGAGCTCCCTATGTGGCCACGAAGCGCTGTCCTGGGTGTCGTTGACGCATGCAGCCTGTGCCACGAACCTTCGATGGAGCCCCCCATGGGGCCACGAAACGCTGTCGTCGGTGGCGTTGACGCATGCGGCCTGTGCCACTGGAGCCTTCGGTGGAGCTCCCTATGAGGCCACGAAAGGCTGTCCTGGAAGGTGTTGACGCATGCGGCCTGTGCCACTGGAGCCTCCGGTGAGGCTCCCTATGGGGCCACGAAGCGCTGTTCTGGGTGGCGTTGACGCATGCGGCCTGTGCCACTGGAGCCTTCGGTGGAACTCTCTATGGGGCCATTAAGCGCTGTCCTGGGTGGCGTTGACGCATGTGGCCTGTGCCACTGGAGCCTTCGGTGGAGCTCCCTATGGGGCCACGAACCGCTGTCATGGGTAACGTTGGCGCATGCGGCCTGTGCCACTGGAGCCTTCGGTGGAGCTCCCTATGGGGCCACGAAAGGCTGTCCTGAAAGGCGTTGACGCTTGCGACCTGTGCCACTGGAGCCGTCGGTGGAGCTCCCAACGGGGCCACGAAACGCTGTCCTAGGTGGCGCGGACGCATGCGGCATGTGCCACTGGAGCCTTCGGTGGAGCTCCCCACGAAGCGCTGTCCTGGGTGGCATTGACGCATGCGGCCTGTGTCACAGGAGCGTTCGGTGGAGCCCTCTGTGGGGCCACGAAGCGCTGTCCTGGGTGGCGTTTGCGCATGCGGCCTGTGCCACTGGAGCCGTCGGTGGAGCTCTGTTATGGGGTCACGAAACGCTGATCTGGGTGGCGTTGACGCATGTGGCCTGTGCCACTGGAGCCTTCGGTGCAGCTCCCTATGGGGCCACGAAACGCTGTGCTGGATGGGTGCAACGCAGGGAGATGACGAGGCGGATGGGAGGAGGACGGAGGGGAAGGAGGAGGGGGAGGAGGAGGAGAGGAGAGGAGAGGCGAGGAGGAGGGACGCGGGGCGCTGTCTCTTCAAAACGAGGACCCAACAACACAGGATGGTTAGGACAAATCGGGCTAGGGTGACCTCCCAATAATGCTAAGTTGCGCGGGTGTCTCTTCTGACCAGTCTGCAGGGCCACTTCGAAGAAGTTGGGGCGGCCTAGCAGGAAGACATCAATATAACGTTTGCTGTATGCTTCTACCAACTGTGTTTCTTCATATCATCTCTACGCCAAAATATGGATTCGCTCGGTTCCGCCAGCTACACCAACGCCCCAAATCTATCACTCGAGCGCAAGACATGACCCCCCCACGCGCGACAGCTCTCAAACTAAAGTATTAGCCACATTAAACAGCAACATGTGCCCCCTAGTAAAAATTGTTGTATCATGACATTATTAAGCACGGCTGATTCGCGGATAACACACAGCTTTTATTGCATTCCCTATACAGGGCTTCTAAACTCAGGAACGCACGCGGCAGACTTAGAACTCTGCCCGCCCTTCACCCACAGACACCACGACTCAGAGAACAATGTACGGGTTGAAGGCCTTTCTGGCCCAGACCAAGCCCGAAGCCGGCGCTGAAGTAGACCGCAAGCATTGGGGAGCAAGGATATGCGACCGCCTTTTGAATAGCATGATGTTCGTTGATTTGTTTCCCTGTGCCAACTGCACATCCTAGCACGCCGCTGCAGCTCAATGTCCTCGCGAGTCTGTGGCAGGCCTGACCGCATCGTCAGGCACCCTTCGACTCCAGCACCAGCACAACACACGAGGATGGGCGCGGACGAGGATGACACTCTGGAGGCGTTCTTCGTTTTGGAGAATGGGGGAACAGACAGGACGAAGACAGGAGGGGAATGAAAAGGAGGAGTAGGGGAAGGATCCAGACGAGGATAAAGGGGTAAGAATATGAAAGCAGAGGAGGAACAGGATCAGCAGCAGCAGCAGAAGCAAGAGGAAGAGCAAAAGCAACGCCTAGACTTAGAGTACAACTAGGTGTTCAAAAAGCAGTAAGAGTAATAATGTAAGTAGGCTAAGGGTAAGAATCAGGGTGAGAGGAAGAGTAAGAGGACTACTGTAAGTAAACATCAGGTAATAGCTAGGCAGTGGTCCCAAGGTAACTCTCGGAGAGCATGTACTTGGCCCTCATGGCGTATGCTTAGGAATATCCAGTAAGAACACGTGCCAGAGTAGATGTGCATAGCGTAGCCAGCCTAAGGAGGGGAGGCGGGCCGCGCGCGCGGACACCTGTTACTAAGCAGAGATCATTGCGAAACGCAGCACGCTATCATACTTCTGGTAAAAAATGGCGCCGCCAACCCTCAGTTGGAGGGCAACGGCGGCGCAGCAAAAGAGCACACGGGGGGAGCGTAGCGAATGACTTACATAGAGCCACGCGCGTACGGCATTCCATACTCCAAGCGTGTCACGACCCCTGGATATTGAGCTCATCTGTTCCGCCTCAGACACGCCGCCGACATCTACCCGAAACTTTAAACATTATGATCATGGATGTTGTTGTTGTTGTTGTTGTTGTTGTTGTTGTTGTTGTTGTTGTTGTTGTTGTTGTTGTTGTTGTTGTTGTTGTTGTTGTTGTTGTTGTTGTTGTTGTTTATGTGTCAACCTTCTGCTGGAGCAGCCACCTGTGAGGGCTCAGACATTGGTTTTAATGCCCGATGTGCGGTTTCAGGCCCACTCTGGCGGGAACTACGAATCATCAGCCCAAAGATCACACTGTACATTGGTCGCGATGGAAAGAGTGGAAACCACATCAGGTGGCCAGAAGGGGTCTGACGAAGGTCTTGTCTGCAACTTAGCACCAGGTAGAAATGACCCCCTTAGCGGTGACACCCCCCCTTGCTGATGCCCGAAAAGCACTTCGTGACAAAGAAGAGGATGAGGAAGAAACGGAAGAGGAGGAGGAGGAGGAGGAGGAGGAGGAGGAGGAGGGAAGGAGGAGGAGGAGGAGGAGGAGGAGAGGGAGAGGAGGAGGACGAGATAGAGGAGGAGGAGGAGGAGGAGGAGGAGGAAGAAAATGAAAAGGAAGAGGAGAAGAAAAGAGGAAGAGAGGAAGGAGCAAAAGGACGGGGAGACGGATGGGAGCCCGAGGCGGCCGCCCTTGAAATAGTCCTGGCCGCCGAGCAGCATGACGGTCACCGCCTGGTCTGGCCTGGGGGGGGGGACAGTAAGCGGCCAGGCACGTCGACGTTTCGTCGCCGCGCGCTGCGCGGCACGTGGGCGGGGGCATAACTTCCCACGCCACGAGATCCGAGGAAGCACACAAACGTCCTCCTCATCCCCCTCCCCCTCCCCCTCCTCCTCCTCCTCTTCCTCCTCCTCCTCCTCCTCCTCCTCCGCCTCCTCCTCCTTGGCGACTGACTGCGCACCAGTGCCCCGCCTCGCTGAGCCGAAACTTCTCGAAACACACAGCCACTCAACGTCCTCGCTGTCCACGCACGACACGCCCCTCGCCTCTACCGAACCCGCCGCGCCGCACCTCGCCCCCACCACAAGCAGGTCCACCGCCAGCAAGCCCGTCCGCTCGGCCGCGCTCGCTGGCAGCGCAGCCCCGCGCCAGCAGCACGCTGGCCCCGAGCGCAAGCAGCACCGTCTGCGCGACGGTTTGCACCACGGCCGCCTCGGCGTCCGCCCAGAAGGTCCGCAAACTCCGGGCGAAGACGCGCCCAGAGCCGGGCCGCGGCCGCCCGTACTCGCAGCTCTCCTGGTGGAGGGCGGCGAGCGTCTGCCTGGCGACTGCGACGAGCTGGCCGAACGCGAAGGGCAGAAACGGCGGGGCCGTAGCGCTTGAGCAGGGACCGACCGTCCCGGCATCCCTCTAGGCCCATCACGACATGTTCTCAGAACCAAAGGATGCTCTCATAATAAAGAAACAGAGTTCTTAGAACAGAACGCCGATGTGGTTAAGCAGGACGGTCCCAGCCAGAAATATTATAAGAACATGTCTTGCAAACCACAAGTTCTTGGAACATGCTTGGTGGGCCTATAGGCAGGTCAGGACGCTTCGCCACTGCTTGAAGCGCGTGACCTCGTCGTGCTCGTCGGCGACCGCCGCGCCTGGCTTGCAGCTGACGTCACCCAACCCCTCGCGAATGGGGAGCGGACGGTGATGTCGATGAGGAAGTGATTTCCCGACGCCTGCCACCACGCCAGCAGGTCCGTGAAGTTCTCGTGGACCTTGCCGTCCTGGACGACGTGCAACTCCGGCACGTGCCGCTCGATGCCCTCGAAAGCCCCCACCCGCTCGAGGTGACGCCGGAGCGTGGCAAAGACAGAGATCTGGCATCGCAGGCGCTGCTGCCGGCCCGCCGCGCCCTCTGGCACGTGCCGCTCGATGCCCTCGAAAGCCCCCACCCGCTCGAGGTGACGCCGGAGCGTGGCAAAGACAGAGATCTGGCATCGCAGGCGCTGCGCCCCAGCTGGGACTGGGATGATGTAGGTGGTCGACAAAGGGCGCGGCGGCGCGACGCAAGGTTTAAGTCGGGCCTGTCCCTCTACAGGAGGAAAATTCAAAAATAGTCAAAAAATAGCATGGGGACGATGTTTTGAGCATTTTTCGTCATGCTGGTGTATTTTTTCACTGTTTTGAATTTTTCGTCCAACATCCCCCGGTAGGAGGACAGGCCCGACTTAACGCAAGGTTCAATATTGCAAGCGCTGTGAAGCGAGCGCGCCAAGCCTCGCTGAGGCAGCAGCGGCGCCGCCAGGCCAAGTCTTGTCTGGATGGCCCACGCCCACTGCGCACTGGGCGTGCGCAGGGCAGGGCGCACTGAGGCTGGACTCCAGAAGCTGCCAGTTCCCTCCTCCTCCTCCTCCTCCTCCTCCTCCTCCTCCTCCTCCTCCTCCTCCTCATCCTCCCCCTCCTCCTTCCCTCTTCCTACTTTCCCTCCAGCACCTCCTCCTCCTCCTCATCATCATCCTACTCCTCCTCATCCTCATCCTCTTCCTCCTCCTCCCCCTCCTTCTCCTTCTCCGTATCCTCCTCTTCCTACTTTTCCTCCAGCACCTCCTCCTCCTCCTCCTCCTCCTCCTCCTCCCCATCCCCATCCTCATCCTCATCACCATCATCACCATCATCAGCATCAGCATCAACAGCATCAGCACCAGCATCAGCATAATCATTCTCATCATCAGCATCATCATCAGCATCATCAGCAGCATAATCATCATCAGCATCAGCATCATCACCACCATCATCATCAGCAGCAGCTACAGCAACAGCATCATCAGTAGCAGCAGATTAATCCTCTTCCTCGTCCTCGTCCACATCCTATTCCTCCTCCTCCTCCTCCTCCTCCTCCTCCTCCTCCTCAGCCTCGTCCTCCTCTTCCTTTCCCTCGTCTTCCTCCTACTCTTTTCCTCGTCCTCATCCCCCTCCTCCTTTCATCCTCCTCGTCATCACTTTTCCTGCTCCTCCACCTCTTCCTCTTCCTTCTCCTGGCGTACCCCATCACACGGGTCGTGCTCTTTCCGGAGGGCGCCCGTGAGAGTTTGCATGCGCCCCGCCCCCAACATCCCTCGCACGGATCGTGCATAGAGAGGCCCACCGCCAAAGATGCATGCAATTGCTAAGGTTTGGGCCCCTCGCCAGGCTAATGTTCATGAGTGGGCCCCCTTCTCGCTCCGCCCCCAGATCTCGAACGCCATCGCCTCGCCGCTGCAAAAATACAGTTGCTCGGGGTCGTCGACAAGCGAGTGCTGCAGGGAACATTTGCGGTTCGGCCGACGAATCACGATTTGGGCCGAACGGAACAAACCTCCGAAACGTCGACTGCGACGACAACGACCACCACTGCGACAACGCAGACGGCGGCGGCGGCAACAGCGACAACGACGACGACGCCCGAAGACCTCTGCTCTGCAGCTTCTGGAGGTCCCTGATGGGGCGCTCCCGGGAGGCCTCCGGAGGCCTTCGGAGGTCGAAAAGAGGATCCGCTCCTCGATTGGCCGAACCCCGCTCCTCGAAATCCGCTCCAGGTCGGTCCCCGGACCCCTGGCCGGGTTTTCTTCATCCCGGATCGTCTTCTGGCGGCTGGGGGGGGGGGCACCAACGGCCCCTGCTGGATCCATGGGTGCGAGGGGAAGCGCCTCGATAGCTTCTCGGACGCCGGATAACCCTAGCCTGCCTCCTCGACAGATCGACGGGGACAGGAAGAAGAAGAAGAAGAAGAAGAAGAAGAGAGAGAGAGAGAGAAGAGAGAGAGAGGATGGAGGCAAGCTGGGTGCGCTGGCACCAGATCTGGCATCCGACCCCTATCACCCACCCCTGTCCATTGCGTTGAGTTGTTCTCTATCCGCGCACGCGTATCATAGCGGAGCTGGTGCGGAACTTCCAAAAAGACCATATCGTGTTATGCGCAATCGGACAGTGGAGCTGCGTCCATAGGACGAGGAGGTGGCGGATGAGCAGGGGTGCGTTCTGACGAGAATTTCAAGGCAAATCCGAGGAGGAGGCGGAGGATCGAGGAGAAGGAGGATCGAGGAGGAGGCGGCGGACAGGGATTGCGTCCGAGGAGGAGCGAAGAGGAGTAGGACGAGGACGAGGAGGGGGAGGAGGAGGAGGAGGAGGAGGAGGAGGAGGAGGAGGAGGAGGAGAAGGAGGAGCAGGACTAAAATAAGGAGCATGGGGGAAAGAGGAGGACGAGGGGCGAACATCAGCAGCAGAAGCTGGAGTGGAAGGAGCGGGAGGAGCAGGAGAACCAAGGAAAGGCGGAGGAGGGGAAAGGAGGGGGGAAGACAACGATGAGGAAGGA